CACTGGCCATCCAAAATAGCATTAGGATTGGCAAATAGTATCCACACAATGTCTAATTTGTGCTGGTAGGTATTTTGGGAGATCAGTGGATCTTAGCAGCGTGTGATGGAAGTATACAGAATGTGCAAATCATTGCATCAGTAAAGTGCGTAATGCAAATTTGAAGTCAGCTCTGCAATTTTTTGTCTCTGCCACTCCATCTAATGCCTTCTCTTAAATATGCACAGTTCAAGATGCATTAGCTCCAGGGAGCACCCATGCTTAAAAAGGGTTCATCAACTACTCTCAGATTAGTTGCCAATGTTGAATCTGAGTTTGATAAACTACTTGGGGGTTTTCATAAAATTGTAAGACCATAAGATATGGGAGCAGAATTAGGCCATTCAACCCATCGAAGCTGCTCCACCATTCAATCTTGGTTGATGTGCTTCTCAACCCCATTCTTCTGCCTTCTTCCTGTAACCCTTGATCCCCTTACTAATCAAGAGCCGATCTATTAAAAAAAACAATGCTGAAAATCAGAAAAAAAAACTAAACATTAACTCTAATTTCTCTCCACAGATGCTGCCAGAGCTGCTGAGTTTTTCCAGCAATTTTTGTTTTTGTTCAAGAACTGACGTACCCCCGTCTTACCTACACTTAATAACTTGGCCTCCACAGCCTTCTGTGGCAATGAATTCCAAAGGTCAATCACCCTCAGGCTGAAGAAATTCCTTGTCACCTCAATTCTAAAGGGTTGACCCTTCACACTGAGGCTTTACCCTCGAGTCCTAGTCTTTCTTACAAATGGAAACATCTCCCATGCCCTCTATATGCAGGCCTCTCAGTATTCAGTAAGTTTCAATCAGATCCCCCTCATCCTTCTAAAACGCACTGAGTACAAATCCAGGGTCTCCAAATGCTCCCCATATGACAAGCCACTTATTCAGGGATCATACTTGTAAACCTCTTCTGGACCCACTCCAATGCCAGCTCACTTTCCCTAAGATCCGGGGTCCAAAACTGCTCACAGTATTCCAAATGCAGTCAGACCAGACTCTTATACAGTCTCATCAGTATATCTCTGCTGTTACATTCTAGCCCTCTTGCAAGGAATGATGACATTGCATTGGCCTTCCTAACTGCCAACTGAACCTGTTAACTTTAAGAGAATCCTGATCTAGGACTCCCAAGTCCCTTTGTGCTTCAGATTTCCAAAGTCTTTTCCCATTTAGAAAATAGCCTACACCTTATTCTTCCCACCAAAGTGCATGACCTCACACTTTCCCACCTTATATTCCATCTGCCAGTTCTTTGCCCACTCTCCCAGACAGTCCCAGTCCTTCTGCAGCCTCCCCATTTCCTAAACACTACCTATTCCTCCACCTGTCTTTGTGTCATCTGCAAATGTAGCAACAATGCCCTCAGTTCCTTTATACAGATCATTAATGTATGATGTGAATATTTGTGGTCCCAACACTGACCCCTGTGGATCTCCACAAGTCACTGGCTGCCATCCAGAAAAAGACTCCTTTATCCCATTCTTTTCCTTTTTCCAGTCAGCCAATCCTCTATCCAAGCTAGCATCTTTCCCCTAGCACCATGGGCTCTTATCTTACTTAGTAGCCTGCTGTGTGGCACCTTGTCAAAGGCCTTCTGGAAATCTAAATAGATCACATCCACTGATCTCCTTTGACTAACTTGCTCGTTACCTCCTCAAACAAATCTAACAGATTTTGCAGGTATGACCACCACTGGATGAAGCTGTGATGACGCAGCCCTTTTTTATCATGCACTTCCAAGTACTCCACAATCTCATCCTTAATAATGGACCCTAAAATCTCCCCAACAATTGAGGTCAGGCTAACCGGCCTATTGTTTCCTATCTTCTGCCATCCTCCCTTCTTAAACTGGGGTGTTATATTAGTCATTTTCCAGTCCTCTGGGACCTTCGTTAATGTCAGTGATGTCTGAAACATAACCACCAATGCCTCCACAAGCTCCTTAGCTATCTTCTTCAGAGCCCTGGGATGCAGACCATCTAGTCCAGTTTATTTGTCCAGATTCAAACATATTAACTTTCCCAGCACCTTCTCCTTAGTAATGCCCACTACACTCATATCTGCCCCCTGACTCTCTTGAAGTTCTGGTATGCAACTGGTGTCTTCCACTGTGAAAACTGATATAAAGTAACTATTCAGTTCCATCGCCAATTCTTTGCTCCCCATTTCTTCTTCTCCAGCCTCATTTTCCAGGGGTCCAATGTCCATTCTTGCCTCTCTTTTAGATAACTTTTAGATCTCTAAAAAATCTCTTGCAGTCTTTTTTAATATTACTGGCTAGTGAATCTCATACTTTATCTTCTCCACCTGTATTCCTATTTTAGTCATCCTCTGCTGGTTTTTAAAGGCTTCCTTAACTTCCCACTAATCTTCATCAACTTTTCCAGAGTGACTTAAAGTTGGTGAAGTCAAAGTGATGCTCCATGTGGAGACGGCTTTGATTTTCGCATCAAGGATTCTGGTCAGATGACTTAGCCTGAGTTACTGCTACAGCCATTTCCATTCCTCTTGGCCTAAAGCATAAAAGAAATGGAGCACAGAAGAGGGACATGGAGGAGGGGAGAATGATTTTCAGTGGGAACCTGATCAATGCCAGCCAGGAGTAGTGTGTGAATTAACTTGTTTTGCTAAGTGAGGGTGGAGGATTAAGGTCGGTTAGCTCAGTTGGCTGTAGAGCTGATTTGCAACACAGGGTGACACCAACAGTGTGGGTTCCATTTCTGGGCTTGTTAAGATTGCCCCCCTTTGTCAACCTAACTCCTCTGAGGCGTGGTGACACACGGGTTAAACTCACCATCAGTTGTCTCTCTCTCTCTGTCCTCTGGTGATATTTTGCTAATGAAGTGCTTATTGGAAATCTGCCTCCCTGTGTAGGCAGATGTGCAGCCTCAAAGTAGGGTAAGGATGGAACTATCACTATCTTTGGAGATGACCATAGCCCTGAATTTCCTTGTAGTGAGATCTTTGAAGCTGGAACAGGCAATACCTGTAACATCCACTGGGGAGAACGCAAATGGATTTTCAAGGCTTCCTCAAGCTGTCTGGGACTGAAGAGCTCAGCCTCAAACCGCATAACGTCGGTCTGGACAAGTTGGCTGACAGGGACCTGCAAGGGCATGGGTGGAATGGCATTGCTGGGAGAACAAACACTGTCATCCTGAGAGAGCACTATCACTACCATGGGCACTCAGCAATCCAAGTGGGTAGACAGAGGGCTGGACTGAGACCTGCTCAGCACTGATACCCACATCTGTGATGGCAGCAGTCTGACCCTAGGTGACACCAAACAGAGGCTTCATAACTTCATTCGGAGGTTTCAGAGCAGGGCTCAGATCTTCGCTGGAACTTTACAACCCACCTACCAAGAAACAGGGAAGCAGGTAGTGCAGTTGCAGGGGAGGGTTAAATATACCCGGGTGGCCTGGTAGAGGGGTGGTCATAATATACATATTATGCATGTACCTAACCACCCCTCCTGGGATTTTCCATGCAGACAAAGAGGCATTAAATGGCCCACATAGCTTTACGCCAACTGAAGCTGTTAAGTGGCCAGTTAATGGTCAATTAAGGCCCTCCTTTGGCTGTTGTTCAAATTTTATCAGCAGTGGGGGCATATGAAAAGGCTTCCAGGTAAACCCTGATGGGCTTACTCAGGGTTTAGAGGACCACATCTTCGGATATCATGTGCCCAATGGGGCTCTCTGCATTATCATATGTCACTACCCATCCCTTTCATGTTCATTTCCCCACACTCCTGATCTTGGCACTGTCCCCTCAGTTCCCTACTGGGGTTGCCAGCACAAACATTGAAATCTGTCTCCAGTGATGATTATCCTTAGGGATGGCCTGCAGTCCCAGCAGCGGCTGCTCATTCCAGTGGCAGTGCTGGGACTAGAGAGTTGTCAACCATTTGCATAGCCAGCAGTTCTGGGAGGTGGGACTTGCTCTCAGATGGGGACAGAATTCCTACCATGAGTCGTGTAATGGCCTGATGTCTTTAAAGCCATCTTGTTGCTTCCGGCCATGCAGAGGTGGGCTTGTTTAAGCCAGGGAATGTGGCCACTGCCTCTGCATAACATTCCTGTTATTGCATGGCTGCAGCTTATACTGCAATGAAAACAGAGACATTGCTCATGAAGCACTACCATCATTCTTATGTCCACAAGTGACTATATGTGAGTAAAGAACCTCATTTCTCTCATCTACATCCTGCACCAAGGCCTGTGGTATTGTATCAAAGACCTTTGGATCATGTACAGTGCCCTGTTGCTACATTTGACCTGTGCTACTGCTCAGAGACCCTTTCCTCAGTCTCTTCAGCATCTGTCAAGGGTCAATGGTTTTTGGGCCCTATTCACTTTTATTCCTACAACATCATGAAATTACTCCCTTAATGTTGCTATAATTGCACCGTCTATTCCTTCTTTCGGTGCTCCAATTTGATCAACAGCCAAATTATCTTAGAAAAGCAAGGCCCACAAAGGAAATAATTAATTTATGCACAAGTGAAGAAACAATAGGACAGTTTTTGGTTGCGAACTATAAATTGTTGTTTCTTGTCATTCCCACTGAGGAACACGAGTGACTCTGCTGACATTATTTTAAATTACCTGTCAAAATTAAAACAGCATTTCTGTTCAAAATGTAATAAAAAGACTCTTGACACCGTCTTTCAATCAAACTAATAAGGCGGAAAGCAACTACTGCCTTGGGATGTCAGCATGTTATTGAAATACGTTTTTAACTAAATGTTAATAGTGAACCCAGCAGAGGAGAGATAGACTCAACATCTGGTCCTGACAGATTTTTGCGAAATAAGGAAATCGTTGTCAATTACTATTCAAACAACATGATAAAAAAGGAAAAATAGCCTAAGAAATACAATGCAAATTCAAACTGTCAGTTCAACAACAGAATTGCTGAATTTTCCTGTAACAATCTTCCAGAAAAAGTACCTACCTCACAATAAATGGAGAGCAAGCCTCTTCTAGAATTTTCTTCTCTGAATGTATGTGCTCCTGTTGTCTTGTGTCAACAATGTGCTTTTTCTTAATGCATTTCACAGCAAAGGTCACATCTTCATTCTTCATTTTTACCTATAAAGAAAGACAGCTAATTGCTTGGAATTACAGTCTTAAACATTTATTTTACAAGGCAAAGAAGTATTCATTAGATATACTGGTCAGGTTCTTTAAATGGAAGGAGATACACTCTGTTACACTATTGATGTTGCAATGAAGATGAAAGTTTATGTTGAGCTGTGTTTTTGTCACTCTTTGATAAAAATTATTTTAAATCCTATGATTTTCAACAGCATTAAATGAAAGCTCAAGCATAAAGTATGCTTAATATGAGTTTCAAACAAAGGGGAAAGCAAATATATGACAAATGAATAGGAAAGATGCAATGGAAAGTTTTGACTACCCAATAATGAAGGTTAGGGCCATCAGCTCAGTCCTCATGGTGTTTACAAGTTCAGTTTCACTATAAATACCTTCTCAGGTTTCCAGGTAATTTGTGCTTTATAATCTTTGTGGGAGTTAACCTGGACTGCCTCATAATTTGTGCATTTCATCTTCGACCTCTCCAAAGTTCAACCAAGCAAACGTTTTGAGAGATAAGGCCAGATCTTCTGAATCGTTTCGTTAATTTTACAGCAAAATGAACATAGTGAACTATCATTCAGACTGGACTCACATAACTCGTTCCATAAGAATTTAAAAGTTGATTGACATTTTTGTGATGATTTTTTAATGCTTTAGGGATTGATTTATACACTGTGATCTACAATGTATAACCCTAACCTTTTGCATAACAATTCAAAATAAAGAAATTGTCACGTGTGCTTACACCTGACAAGTCACCTTACTTATTTTAAGGAAAAGAAGCAATTTTCCCATGGAGTGAGAAAGGGCACTGGGGGCCTGGTAAAATGGCATGGACTGGTGTAGGACTGACTTTCCAATAACTTCCTACTGTTGACCAATTTTACAAGATCCAGGCAAAGGGACAGATCGTAGGTATGCAAGTAGTTAAGGTTATAGAGATAGCCATTAAGATCATAGAGACAGCCAATTGTCAAATTTTTTTGTACCTTTCTGATTTTACCAGTGGCACACAGGATGTACAGAAAATGAATCTCACCTACTCAAGGTGAGATCTGAATGTCAGCTAAGTGGTGAAGGGAAGTGGTAGTGATATCATGAAGCTGTGCAAAGCTGAGCTGTCAAGAAGAGAAGCTGTCAAGTTTCGAGATACTGCAGAAGCTGGTGGCAAATTGAGCTACCTAGGAGCGGAAGTAGGCCTTCCAGTTCATCAAGCCTGCTCTGACATTCAATGCGATCATGGCAGAACTGATAATCCCTAGCTGCACTTCCGTGCCTTTTCCCCATAACCCTTGGTATCCTTATTGATTAAAAATTTGTCTATCTCAGTCTTTAACATACTTAATGGCCAGCATCTACAGCCCTTTGTGGTAAAGAATTCTACAGATTTACTACCCTCTGAGAGAAAAAATTCCTCGTCATTTCTGTCTCAAATGTGCAAGCCCTCATTCTGAGATTTTGCTCTCTAGTCCAAGCTCTCACTCAAGGGGAAACAACCTTTCCACATCTACATTGTCAAATGCAGCAAGAATCTTGTGTGTTTCAATAAGGTTAACTTTCATTCTTATATATTCCAACTTCATGGGCCCAATCTACTCAATCTCTCCTGGTAAGACAGTCCCTCTACACGTGTGACTTCTCTGAACTGTCTCCAATGCCAGTACATCTTTCCTTACATAAGGGAACCAAATTATTCCCAGTATTCCAGCTGCAGTCTGATTATTTCCATGTATAGTTTTGGCAAAACCTCACTACTTTTATACTCCATTCCCTTTGAAATAAAGACCATCATTTCATTTGGCTTCCTATTATCCACAGAATTTGGATGCTGGCTTTTTGTGATTCATGGATGAGGATTCCAAAATCCCTCTATTCCATGGCTTTTTGCAGTCTTCCTCAATTTCAATAATATTTCAGCTCCTCTGATCTTCCTTCCAAAGTGCATAATCACACATTTTCCCACATTATCGAAAAATCGAGTGTTTTTTCCCACTCACTTGACCTGACCATTTCTCTCTGCAGACTCTATGTCATTCTCATCATTTGCATTCCCACCTATTTATATCATCCGCAAACCTGGCTATACTTGGAGAAATGCTAATGAAGGTGTCTCTCAGATCCACAGCAGCCACTGGAGGCTGGGCAATAGTATTGAGAAACTGATCACAGCGGCGATCTCTTCTGGTTATCAGGTTAATGCATTTGGTAGATGAGTGGCATAGAGATGGGATGCAGCCACATAGAGTATCCATGCCATTGTCAGGAGAGCTACAGAAGGGTAAGGAAGCCATTGGGCATGGATGAGAAAGGCACATGGAGGCAAGATGGCAGCATCATGTTCATAGCAGGCACTATCAAGTGAAAAGGATACAGCATCAGTGACTCATAGGGATGTTCCAGGACCATGTTCAGAATAAAGACCATGTGTCCTGATGCTGGTGGAGATTGTAGATGCTTACTTAGAAAACATCAAAGTAACCAGGAGCTGTCAGCATGGTTTTGTCAAAGGGAAATCATGTTTTAACAAATTTATTGGAATTCTTTGAAGGACTGACACATTCAGTAGTTAGGGGTGAGCCTGTAAATATACTATTCTTGGATTTCCAGAAGGTATTCGATAACATGCCACGCCAAAGAATATTGCAAAAAATAAAAGCACATGGTATAAGGTAATATGTTGGCATGGATAGAAGATTGGCTGGCTAGCAAAATGCATAGCCAGAAAACAGAACATAAATGGATCTTTGTCTGATTGGCAAGACGTAATGAGAGGAATCCCACAGGTGACTGTATTGGTGCCGTCACATTTTATAATTTACAACAATAACAAAAGTGAGGGGAACAAAGGCATTGTAGCTAAATTTGCAGACAACACAAAGATAGGGGGGAAAGTATGTTGTGAAGAAGACAGAAGGAACTTGCAGATGGAGAGATAGGTTAAATGAGTAGGCAAAAATCTGGTAAGTGGAGTATAACATGAAAAAAATGTGAAGTTGTTTCTTTTGGCAAGCAGAATAAGAAGGCAGAATATTAATTAAATGGAGAACACCTCCAGAATTCTAATTACAGATGGGTTATTGTGCATGAGTCACAATAAGTTAGCATGAAGGGACAGCACATAATCAAGAAGGTAATGAGTTGCTTGTTCCTTAGTATGAGAGGAATTGAACACAAAATTAAGGACGGTATACTTCAGTTATGCAGGGCATTGATGAGACAACATCTCAAATATTGTGATAAAAGCAAAATATTTAGGCACTGGAAATCTGAAATAAGGACAGAAAATGCTGGAGAAATTCAGCAGGTCTGGCAGCATTTGTGATTGAAGAAGAGTCATACTGGACTTGAAACATAAGCTCTACTTCTTTCTTCCCAGATGCTGCCAGATCTGCTGAGTTTCTCTTGTCTCAAATACCGTGTGCAATTTTGGACTCCTTATTTAAGGAAGCATGTAAAATGCATTTCAGGCAGTTCAGAAAAGATGTACAAGGACTGATCGAATGTGTGTGTTTTCTTATGAGGATGGAAATGGACAGGCTGGACTTGTTTCCACTGGCGTATAGAAGAATGAGGGGTGATTTAATTGAAGTGTATAAAATCTTGAATGGTTTTGGCAAGATGGATGTAAAAGGATGTTTCCTTTTGCAGTCGGTCCAGAACCAGGTGTGATTTAAAATTATGGACCACCCTTTCACAGCAGAGATGAGAGTTTTTTTTCTCTTTCAGAGGACTTTGGAACTCTCTGCCTCAGAAAGCCATGGAGGTAGGGACGTTGAACATTTTTAAGAGAGGTGGTTAGATCCTTGTTACACAGAGGAATCAAGGGAATCAAGAGAATGTGGAATTCAAAAGACAAACAGATTAACCGTGGTATTATTTAACAGTGAAGCAAATCTGAAGGGCTGATTGGTCTCCTGCTGCTCCTATTATGTATGCTCATTTGCTTGTATGAGCTTCGCACAATACTAGAATAATCGATGCCAATAGGAAGTGACAAATATACAGTGAGTGTAGCTTTCAGTGTGACATCTGCACTGTTCTTTATCACCTGTGATTCATTCCAGTGTTTTTTTTTTGGAGATTTATACGTGCTATTTCTCAATCAGTGACCTATAAAGGAGGTCACAGATGCCATTTGTCATTGGGCTGACAAATGTATCAGATTCACAACATACCAGACCAGTCAGGTAGAAAAAGGGCAGTTAACTTTGGGAGCTACGATGGATTTCCCCAGTGGCAAGGAGTTAGCGAGTGCTCTCATGTGGCTAGCAAGGCTTTCTTATGCGGGAATCCTTCTACCTTCTTACAGCCACCATGACTGTCATTTAATGCCACTAAAGGACCTCAGCCCACTGCCAGTTATTTTGATCCAGCAGTGGGTGGGATTTTGCCATGCAGGGAGCATGGGAACAAAATCTGTGCCAGCCGTTTGAGGTCTCGTGTGGGTACCTTGTTTAAAGGGCCTAAGCGCCTGCTTGACTGTCCCAGTATTGAGAAGGGGGTGTTCCACTGACAGCCATTCCACTGCCCTTGCTGCGCACCCCCTACACCTACATTTTTCCTCACAAGAGCCCTTTTCTTATGATGATTTTTCTCATAGCTTTGTGTTATAGTTTGAAATAACTTTAACAAAGTACGTTAGCTTAAACAAAGTTTTAAGCCTTCTTTTAGCTTCTCAGCCTAGAATTTCATTTAAATCTCAACATTTTTATCCATTCATTAAGGAAGTTAATTCCCATCTGGTATCTCTTATAGATTGCTATATCTCAGAGTTATGATTCATAATTCTCCCCTTGCAGCTTCACTAAGATTCTGCTTGGTCTTCACCAGCTTTTCTGACATTTTTCATTGATTCCTGATGATTTTGCAGACAGCCTTAGTGCTGCCATAGCTCCTGCAGCTGAGTTTTTTTTTTGTTGCTGGTAGATTTCTTCAGGTTAGAGCTGTCTGGTCAAAATTTACACCACTGTTCACCATGTTATACATGACAGTGATGCCCAATGCTACTGTCTTCTTATAATATTGTGGTTATCTACCTAAATCATCTGGGACATCTTCTTGATGGTATTAGTCTATTCTACTGAAACCGTGTGAGCAAGATGTCCATGTGAGGACATTGGCAGAAGATAGCTGCAATTTTCAACTTTGATTCTCTATGTTGCTACTTGTACCTAAGTTTTATACTTAGGTAGCGTCATACCTAAGGTGGCACATTGCGGTGACATTTTCACTGTACTCTCCGTGTACTTCTGTACTTGAGTACATGTGACAATAAAGCTTAAATCCAATAAAGCAAATCAAACATGGATGAACAATAACTAGGTTTTACATGTTACTTAAGAGCTTTTTTTTATTCATTCCAGGATGAGGGCGTCACTGGCTAGGTAACATTTATTGCCCATCCCAAATTACTCAGAGGGCAGTTGAGAGTCAACCACAATGCTGTGGGTCTGGAGTCACATGTAGGCCAAACTAGGTAAGGATGGCATTTTCCTTCCCGAAAGGACATTAGTGAACCAGATGGAGTTTTTCCCCAACAATTGACTCACAGTTATTATCATTAGACTCTTAATTCCACATATTTATTGGATTCAAATTCCACCATCTGCCATGGCAGGATTTGAACCTGGGTCCCCAGAACGTTATCTGGCTCTCTGGATTAACCACTAGGCCACCAGCTAGTTATGTTGTATCTGAGGTTGGTGTTAGTCTCTTCTAAGACACTCTCAGGCAGCATTAAAGATGTACAATATCATACTTTCTACAGGAGGAAACCTGCTTACCAGCTCGACTCTCCCAAATCCACCTACTCCCAAGGTGGTGATGATCTCCAGGTTTCTGAAAGGTGATGTCGATGAAAATGTGGCAACCTTCTCCTTCAACCGAATCATCTCTAAAGAAATTTCTCCCCCTTGTGCATGCGTGGATATCCTACACGGAATCAGATACTGAAGTTATGAGAACAGACACCATGACCCCTACGACATTTTAATTCTTTACGATTTAAAGAAAAAGTGAAAGATCAGATCAAGAGGTAGAGAGATCACAAGTAAGGTTGCTGAACAAGCAAATACAGGTTTGTATTGTGTGTGTTTAAATTCACACAGCAGTTTGAATAAAGTCCTTGAGCTACAAGCAGAAATTACTATTGGGTACGTGGCTGTCTTGGATCACAGCGGGTACTCAAATGGTTCTTTTCAGATTCGGGTAAATATAATTAAGGGAAGGCTCGAACACAGCAATGTGCTTAAATGTGAATGTTTATTAAGTAAAAGCAATGATTATAACAGCAATAATAAATGACTATAGTGGTAATAATAAATGGAAAAGCAAAGAGGAAAAAAAAACCAACAAGTCTCACGCTTTTCTAGAAAAAGCAACAAGTCTCATGTTCTTCTGCCTGTCAGGAACCCCTCAATCGGTGGCTGGTCTGGAGGTTTAGGTTCGTTCCTGGTACTGTTCACGATTCTGAGCCGAGGTGAAGTCCAACAGCAGCAGCAGCTTGGAATGAAACTCTCTTTCTCTCCAAGTGTGAGACACACAGCCAGCACAAAGAAAGCAGAGACAGAAAGACAAAACTGCTGGCTGGTACAGAAAACACAGGATGGGAAACAAGTGCAGGTGTCATCTTCGGCTCGTAAAGGAAGGTTCACAGGACTCATTCAAGGTCAGCTCGTCAAGTATTATTCTAAACTTTCCCGGCCTTTTCTCCCATCCTGTACAATCTATTTTCTCATGCAGCTGTCAAATATCATCATTAACTTTTAGGCCTTCAACCCATCCTATACAGTGGCATAAAACATGAGCAGGATGAGGGCAGGACTGGGAGTTAAAAAATCCCAATTCCAAAATATTCAGTGAGCATAATGTATGTGAAAATGAGGGTTGGCAGTACTAATTAAAAATTCCATTCTGGCATTCAACTAGAACCGAAGTTTGATAGGGAAGAAGTTAAATCTATTCGGTTAAAGTTTATGTTTAAGAACAAGATGGGGAATTTTACTCCACTGAGTCCAATATAGATCGCTGAATGGTGAAAAGAATGCGGATGAAGGGAAATACAGATAACTTCAAGAAAAACAAAATAACTCACACCATAGCTATTTTAATTAAACAATGATATACTGGAGATAAAGGAACGTTACTGACAAATAAAGGAAGTGGTTTTCATAGAACGTTGGTGCCAATACAGCATTCCTACTGATTTCAGGAGATAGTGAAAAATCAGTTCAACCAAGGAACTTGTCATTGGTAGAAAGCTTCTCAAGGTCATGGCATGACAGTAAATTAATACTAAACCATGGAAAGAGTGTGAAAAGGCTAGACCATCAACAATCTATTATACGTCTGTCTGTTATGAATCATCTTAGTCAATAAAAAGAGAAACTGAACATGGATTATAACATACAGTCCAATCAATACTGCTTGCTTAGTTTTTTTTTATCCTTGCTGTGTATTTGGAAGACCAGTTTAAAATAGAATTCATTTTGTGTCAGTTGAATTATTTCAAAAAAATCCGAGTAAATGAAGGAGATTTATGATTTCAGACTTGTTAGTAAATATCTTTGTTTCACATAGAGTTGGGGAGAATGCAAATTAACGTGCAAAACATGTATAAATTATAAGAGGTGCTGGATGTCTTTTTCACATTCCAACCTTCTGTCTGTTCTGATTCCAACTGGAGCTGATACATCCCTGGATGAAGATTCTGCAAGAATTTTCGACAGTTTTAGTTCTAATTCCTTCACTTCCAGTGAAAATACATCAAATCTCTGCTCAGCAGCATCACTCTAATGTTCTCTTGCTGAGATAAATTGCTCAATGCGCAGGGAAATGGAGATACATACCTACATGTTACATCCTTACGATGTAATATGACAGATTCTCAATGTACAACACACTGTGATGTTTCATAACTGACTTTTGAGATGCTTAGTAAACTGCAGAAAGCTACTGAAGCATTTTGTCTTTCTAATGGTAGTGCTAAATTAACATAGAAGCATTCTAACTAGCTTTGGAAACTGGACAGTGTCCCATATTTACAAAGTTGTCAGTAAAATATTTGGAAAATAAGGAATAAGTTGCAAAGATTTTGTACAATAAAGCTATGGCAACTGAGTGCCTGTCATCTCTTTTATCAAGTGGAATTGGTATACAGTTCACAAAATGAGCATGTTTTAAAGAGGGAATGTCAAATAAATGTACAAATATGCGTCAAGGAATCAATAGATATCAAGCACAATCTTTATGTCATGCAAACAAGATGACTTTGTACTAGAAATATGCACACTGTGACTGCTTGACTTTGTTGTCAGGTTTTAGAACGATTTACGTCAATGCTTAAATGGCTTGGGGACACAACCACAATAATAGCAGATATTCAAAACTGTCACTACGTCAGTTGAAAATCATTTGTTCTTCAGGCATTTCCTGTAAAATATTACCTTGCATTAATAATAACGTACTATGTTATGTTTAACAAAAGGTTATGCAAAGAAGCTCCACCCTAATGTCAATGGGAACATATACCTGTCACTGTGGAACTCAATGTATAGATCTAGTTTGATCTTTTATCTGTCATGAGTTGGCTAATCTCTGCCAGGGGGTATGCAGAAGCACACAATGCACTCCTTGGGCAAAGGAGAAAGAAACGCTACAAATAGCTACACTCATATATCTTGAGATTCTCTTGCTGCTGCACCCAATGGGCAACTTCAAGTTGCAGTTATTAAGCTGATTTCAAATAATAAAATATTCTAAAGCACTTCACAGGAAGTTTACCAAACAAACTGTGACACCAAGCTACATGAGGAAACAATAGGTCACACAATATTTAATGAATATTTTAAAAGTGAACAGAGAGGCAGAGAAGAGGAATTGCATTGAACAGGGGATTCGGTGTTCAGGATTCAGACTATTGACAACTTTGCCTTTCATTGTGGACCAAATTAGAGTCAGGAATGTGCAACAGACCAGAAATCAAACAGCACAAAGACATCAGAGAATTGTAAGAAATAAAAACAGGAAGTGTTGGAGAAACTCAGCAGGTCTGGCAGCATCTGTGGAGAGAGGAACAGATGTTTTGCATCCAATGATTATTCTTCACAACTGAGATTGTAAGGTGGAAGGAGGCAACAAACATTAATAGGAGAGAGAACATGCAGGCCTTTAAGAACAAGGATGAGAATTTTAAAATTGGGCTGTTGCCAGAGAAGGAAGCATTGCATAACAACACTCACAGGGGTAACAAAGGCAATGGATAAGGGTTTCAACAACATATGACATGAGACAGAAGTGGGGACAGAGAAAGTTAGGAAAGTAGAAGTAGGTACTAATGATGATAGGGGTATTTAGGGGTAGAGCTCAGATCAGGTTCAAATAGAAAGCCAAGCTTCCAAACAGCCTCTGTGGCTAAGGAATAGATGCAGTTGGTGGCGAGGTTGTGAATTTTATGTGCATAAAACTGGAGCAGAAGCACGTGTAGATGTACGTTTTGAGCTGAAAAACTTCCAATTCTCATCCGATCGCTGACATCTTTTTGCCAAACTAGTTGAGGGCAATTGTTAATGATGCGATGGGACATAATTGAAAGCAACTGATTTTCCCTGAAAAACAGGTTAGCAGTGCTAGCAACTGTTTGCATTTTGCCAAACTGCCATAATTGAGTTGCAAGGCTTTATATCGAATGTGCATCTCCTGCTCAGTAATCAGCACAGGTCAGCTTGCACCAAACTGAGTTAATTTGAACCAAATTTTTTGACCAAAATTTTTATTCATGACAAAATCAGGCTTGGCTATATACCTGTTCCAATCAACATTATCTGAATTTTCTTATAAACAAATGCAATTGTACAAATACAACAAAATTATGTCCTGCTCAACTCAGATCCAAACCTAAATCTTGCAGGAGGCAAAGGAGTGGGAAATTGAACCAATTGACCATACAATCTATGTCGCTTTCTAGTCACTGGTAGATTATCAGGATTTTGAAGCAGCTTGGAAAGAGATTTCAACCAAAGGTATTGAAGTGAAGAGAGAAAACTAAGGAAAAATAATTTCTAACAAAAAGATTTAGAGAAAAAGAAAGTCCAGTATCACA